TTCACACTATGGCCTCTGACATGCCCAAATTTTATACCAAATTTTCTCTTAAATATGTTTGACTGAACAATTCTGTATTGGATGGCTTAAGAGTTTTGTTTCAAACCAATATTTTATCTTCAACCAAATCTTAGCAATAAAAAAAGAGTATGTTAGAGCTTAGCACTTTTAGAGTTTATATATAACAAGCACAGTGATTTTGTTAAATAAAAAAATTAATACTTCATTAAATCAAAGCCCATAGGAAAAGTATGTGTTATTGTATGCTGGCTTCCTAGCAGCCTAATGTTGATAGCTATATACACATTTAGGGCCGTTGAGACCATGTGACATACTGGTCTTGTGCTCTTAAAAGCAGAGTAATAAATGAACATAATATACCAAGATGACTTTAAAAGGTGTCCAACGTGTTCAGTGAACTTGAGAGTTTTCAGGCATTTTCTCCTTTACGCTTGCTCTTTCTTGCACATACTTTCTTGCTCTCTCTCTCTCTATCTACCTATCTATCTATCTATCTATCTATCTGAAAGTGCACTCTTTCTTTCTTGTTCTCTCTCGTACATGGGGTTTTTTGCCACAAACAGACACATGGCACGGCTTGATTGCTTAGTTGGGGAAGGGTATCCGTTTTGTGGGACTATTGAGACTGTTTCATGTTTTTATTCAGTGTCCACGTCTATGCCAGATATTGCACTTAGTTGAAGACTGGGGCAAGAAGATTTTTGGTTCACTCAACCAAAGCTTGTTCATTTACAGAGAAAACTATTCTGCCTCAGGGAGGGATAAAATAGTTCTTTTTAACTTTTTGTATGGAGCAACTAAATTCGCAGTGTACCAGGAAGACCAGAATTAAGGGAAGTGGAGGAACTGACCTTGTTTTGATGGTGAGGGGGCTGATTTTAAAGCACCTTAATTTGGAATATACTAACTATAGCCTTACTAATGATGTGGACTCTTTTTTGCTGTATGGGGAGTTGCAGGTGGGGGTTTTGGTGAATTTGTAAGGTGGTGGTGGTTCTGTTGTTGTGTCAGTTAGTTGTCTATGCTTGGCTTTACCCTTATGTTGTATTGAAGACGCTTCAAAGTCAAAGTCTCTCTCTCTCTTCTCTCTCTCTCTCTCTCTCTCTCTCTCTCTCTCTCTCTCTCTCTCTCTCTCTCTCTCTCTCAGGCTTGTTCCCAAAAAGTAGCCAGCAGTCCCTGTAAAAAAGACCCATTGAGAAAAGGATGGGGGACCTCCAGAGGGTTGTACTTGGGGTTTTAACCACAAGGCTTGATTCATTAGTTGGGGAAGGATGTCTGTTTTGTGGGACTGTTTTGTGGCACTTAGTTGAAGACCTGGGCAAGAGGATTTTAGGTTCTCTCAACCAAAGCTTGTTCATTAATGTTCAGCAAGAGTAGGACATCATAAAGAGGAACCAATTTGCTTCATGCTGTATTGCTCTTTAAGTGATAGAAGCCAATCAAATGTAACTATTATGAATAATTAGCACAAGGGCGCTTGTCATTTAGTGTTTATTTTTACTGGCCAGGCATCATTGTTGTGGGAGTGGTCACAATCTGTAAAATAGTCCTTTTTAACTTTTTTAAAAATTTGCAGTGTGACAGGAAAAACAGGGGTGTCTGGGGTGTCTGGGACACCTTAGGTAACCTCTTGGCTCAAAATCAAAATTCTAGGGGGGTTCCGGATAACAAATTTATGACGTTATGCTGTTCATTAGGGTTCATGCTGTTCAATAACAGATGTTCAAAAGGCTTAGATTAGTTCACCCACAGTCAGCAAACTTCTATCTTTGGTATTTGTAACTAACTAGTAATGCAGCACTGGTCTGCTGTTGCAAAATCACCCAGTTGCGACTCCATGTTCCTGTCACCATCATTGTAAAGAAATCTGAGTCGGTATGTTTCTCTATAGTGCACATTTTCAAATCAAAGAACTTTGAATGACTTTGTTTACAACTCACTGACTGAATTGTGCAGAAACTTAAATCAGTGAATCTACCCTTCAAAGTATTCTGATTTGTTTGGCCATTAAACCGTGTGTTTCAGATCGTGACCACTCCTACAGCGACAATGCCTGACCAGTAAAAATAAACACTGAATGACAAGCGCTCTTTGCTAATTATTCATAATAGTTACATCTGATTGGCTCCTATCACTTAAAGCATGAAGCATGAAGCTTATAGGTCTATCTTTTAAAATGTCCCACTTTTGCTGAACTCACCCCTCATGTTGCCTTTGAGCGTCTTATCACAACTTATGTTTGCCATTTTATTCAGTGTGCTTCTTCATAGTTACTTCTTGCTGTGAAGTGAAAGTCTGGCTCCGCTGTAGGCTCATATCCTCATGTCCATTTCCGTGATAAGATCTTTTAGCCTCTTCTGCCTGCCTGCTGCATATGTCTTCCTCAGACACATGACTGAACTTATGGGAGAGCTTGAAGCAATTCAGTAATAACATTTACCACCTGCTGTGGACGTGCAGATATGCGTGAGCCTCCATAAAGCCACATTCACTAAACATTAATGGCCTATTATCATAAAACTACATCAACACAGTCATATCAACACATTGCACAACCCGTAACACATAAAGTGCTGTATGTGAACGAGTGTGCTGCCACATAATCCTTATTCATTCTGAAAGATGTTTGCGCATGTTGCACCAGTCTTTGTAGTGATTGCATCTCCTTAAGACCAGGCAGTGCGCTTCCAGTCAAACGTATATGTGTGAAAATTGCACCATGATATTTTCATTACTGAGGTGTGAAAAGGAGGTGGGTGTCGTGGAGGAAGGGTGCACACATGCTCCCCTGAAAGAAACTGCTCTTGATTTGAGACAAAGGGAAGGGAATGTTCAAAGGTAGTGCACAGCTCATTTTTATTAGTGCTTCAATCTTGAAAAGAGAGGCAGAGTGAAAGAGAGAGAGACACAATATTAAATGGCATAATTAGCTGCATTTTTGTTTGGCCTTAAAGAGTTAATATTTACTGAACTACTGATTTGCTCTAATGAGAAGAGAAGAAGTGCTGTGAGATCTGGGTAGCTGCAGTTGCTTTAGTTTCTCTGCTATCTCTTCCCCTGAATATCATTGTAACATCCATGCTTTGTTTCATATCTATTGGTATAACATATCTATTGGTATAACATTCATCACAATCTTTTGATATATGAGACACACACATCTTAATGAAAAGGTATTCACATTTCCATCTCACCAAAATCATCAGTTCTCAGTGTCAGGTTTGTGCTTTATGGCTGTAGCTTTGGCTAAGCTAAATACCACCATCTGGTGAAAAAAAAACTACAATGTTGGCAACCAGACTACTTATAACTCACTCTAAAAGAGAAGCCATGGGCCACTTAAAATCTGTCCATGGGCCAGATTTGGCCCTGAGGCCAGACTTTAGACACCCCTGGCATAGTGAGAGCATCAGTAACTGCATGTTTTAAACTCCTCTGTGATTGTAGCCTTTTGCTCTCATATCACTTTGTTACGTCTTTTTTCGAAAGAAACTTAAGTTTTCCACTTTGCTGTTGCTGTTGTTAGTTTGCTGCTGGTTGATTTATTCATTCCTCCCACTAGTACTGTCCAGTGTAATCCTACATTGCTAACATTAATGATATTACTAATGTTGCTGGCATCAGAGGTGTGTTCTGCTCATGAATCATACTTTAGACTCAACATACCTCAGTGATAAACAAATTCATCATGGCAGTAGGTGAAAAAGTTTTGGTTTTATCAAGACAATTATTTGAATGAAAGGACAACAATCGCTGTTAGCAATAATCGCTGTTAGCGCGTGAGCAGCTGGGCTTTAGGCTGGAGTACTGCTGATGTTTTGAGGTGAACTAGGTAAACGTGGTAATGACATTAAAAAAAGAATGGCATTAATCATTTATCACATTAATATGTTTTTAACATGTTAACTTTGACACCACAAATATATGTACTCACTGGCCACTTTATTAAGTTCACCTACCTTGTATCTACACTGTGTCCATTTTATCAGGTCCACTTACCATACAGGTGCACTTTGCAGTTTAACAGTGTTTTTATAGTGCATCTGTTTCTCTGCATAATTTGAGCAGGTATTATTTGGGTGGTAGCTGTGACACTAACATTATTAGCTGGTATTAGCATGTAGATACAAGGCAGGTGTCCCTTATAAAATGGCCAGTGAATGTGTGTCTTTATTTAAAAAGTCTGTTTAGACCTCTTTATCTGGGCAATAACTATTGTTTTTCCTTCTAAAACCAATTTCAAAATTTTAGAATTTTTTTTTAATTTTTTGTTTTCGTAAATGTAGTTTCATAAAGTAACTGCTTTCTTGTAAGCTAGTTAGAAGGGCAAAAGTTTGGTTCCAGATTTCTTCTCGACACCCCAAAGCATTGCATGGATTTGTTCAAATTTACCACCAGCACACATGATTTAACTAATTAGCCAAACCAAGTGTTGGAGAATAACTACAAATAATACTGGGCATGAGGAGAGGGCTGGAAATGGTTAAGCAGAAAATACCTTGACATTCATATATGTCTATTTACTGAATTAATGTTTTATATATATATATATATATATATATATATATATATATATATATACACACACACACACACACACACACACATATATATATATACGTATATATGTATATGTATATGTGTGTATATATATATGTATATATATGTATATATATATATATATATATATATATATATATATATATTCATGTTTTTCTGAGCAAATAAACACTTACTGCCCAGATAAAAAAAAAGTTCATTTTATATCATATATATATATATATATATATATATATATATATATATATTATGAATAATAAGAATACTGTTTAGTCTACTCTTGTAAGTGCTTTGGCAATATTGCATAAAAAGCAGTGATGCCTGTGTAGCCCATTCAACTGCACTGAGAGAAAGAGCAAGAGAGAAGCGGGGAGGAGGGAGGGGCTGAAGCTGTGAGAAGACAAAGTGGATTGGTGGACTGGTGCACGACAGAAGGAAAGAGGGCTACGCTTTCGAATTGGGGAGAGGGAGTGGGAGAGAGAGAAAGAGAGAGAGAGGGACCGACCCATCCTACTGCGACAGGCTGCCTGACTAACAAAGCTGTGTTAGGAGAAGGGGAGGCAGAGAATTTAGCTCCAGCTCTGAAAACACACGGTCGTGTTGCAGGTCGTTCGGCGGAGCCTCAACGGTAAACTGCCAGCTCATCCTCACAGAGTGAAGGTAAGAGCTAGAACCACAATTATCTGCTGTTATCTCTCTCTCTCTCTCTGTCTTTCTCTGCGGTAGACCAGCAATAGTGAAAACAGTGTGTACAGTGTGAAAAATGCGAAAGGGTCTCATATTCATTAGCTGACTGCGCATTAGCATCCTCAGCCTGACGCACGTTCTCGATGCCGTTAGTTAGCTTAGCCCCGGTGACTGAAAACGAGCTACGTCCAGTCCGTGTGTTTACATCACAAACGCCTAACAGCTACGAGTACTGGCTTTAGGACGGTGCCGGTGGGGGAGATGCTTATATAGCTTTGCTTCCTTTTCTCTTTTATGGTGGACATGCTGTTAGTTAATTAATGTTCCATCCCGACTGCTTTCTTCACTTTTAGGAAGGAATTTTTCTGTTAGTTCATGTAGTTAGCAGCCCCTGGCTTCTTCGCTGTTAGCGTAGAGATGTACTGCTAAAACGTAACATTCACCTAGTTTTCGCTCTGTGTATGATTGTGCCTTGTGCCAGCTGGGCATGGTGGAGCTGGCACAGCTCACAGAACACATACACACCTAGCTACCTACACACACAGGTGCACTTGCTCTTCCACACTGCTGCCTTGTATGTCTAAAAAGGCAAAGTGAAATTATGACAGCCACTAATCTGAACATTTAAGACATTCTTTCCTTTATCGACCTTTGTTTAACTCGTAATTTTACTGATTCAAAAATCAGCCTCAACTCAACCTTTTAGTGAGAAAAGGTTTAAAAATACAATAAGCCTTATCAGGGAAATATACCATAAGTGGGACTTGTATTAGACCTCTGTAGACACTAGGGTAAAAGGAATGTACATCCACTGGAGCTCATCCATGCCTTCAATAGAGTCTTTCTGTGGCCGCATGCTAACTTAGGACTAGAGATAACGGGCCAAAGTTTCAGCATTAACTGCTTTGTTCAGATCGTATAGACTGAAGGAATGATGGCAGCTCTTCTGAGAGATTTACTGATAACCCTCAAATTTAGACATGGAGAATGCTTTCATTCTCTACCATAGTCTTGGTTCTTGTTCAGCATTAAACAACGTAGCTTTTGTTCAGAACTTGCGACAGACATTAGTGTAACACCAATCATAAGTAATTTACTCATTGTAAATGGACTGTAATTTTAGCAAAATTCACCAGTTGTATGATGCATTCTCTTGTCCAGTTGCTTCTTAGATTTTTCTTTGAAATATGCATTTGGATGTCCGTGTCTTTGTGTGTATTTACCCCATTTCCAAATTTTATCTCCTGTCATTTACTCTTGTCCTCCATATTCCTGAAGTAGGTGCTGTAAATTCAGTTCAGTTTGGGTCTCATAAAGCAAACAGACTTCAAAGAGTCCGATAAACAAGGCTATATAATAGAGGTGCATCAGTCAGGGTTTTTAATGGCTGATTTAGATTTTGATAGCGATTTCATTACAGCAAAATCTTGCAGTTTCTTGGGATGATTTTACTGATTATTTTAAGCAACAGGCAAAAACACAAAAAATCTTTGGTGTCGTTCATCTTTAGACTGCCTGCACTGCAAACATTCACGGCCATGACTACGGATTATATTAGTAATTGAACAATTTTTTAATTATTTCGACAAGTAATTGAGTAATTAAAGTTTAAAAAGGCAAAACAAAAAAAATACTAATAGATTATCCATAGCCTTTCAAAAATTTGGATGCCTTTAAGACGCTTCGATATAAAATTACATATTGAGGCAAAAATGCTTATAAAAGGGTTTGTACAACAGGATAGAGGCTAGTAGCATTTAAAACATACATTATCACCATGCAAACTGCAAACTAATCATTGTAGATTTACTGAGAAAATTAATTTTAATCAATTTTTTTTTAATTGAGTTCAGTATACACATTGAACATTGCAATCTTTTTATCCTCTCTACAAAATAAAAAATAAATCAGTTGCTAATCATGTTAGGAGTGAACGTCGGCCAATGCCGACTAAGGTTCCTAAATAGTAATTAAAGTTAAGGTTCCTAAATAGTAATTGGCTGAGATGTAGGAAAAGCCTTGAGTTGGTATAGAATATTTACATTATGTAGGGGTTCTTTAACCCCTTAAATGGCCAGGGCCATTTTTATTACTCATTTCTGTAACCTAAGAAGAGCTCAGCCAGTTTGCATTAAAGTCCCTGTAGCTACTGAATAATAAGCCTTAATGTAATAAGTCTAGGATTTTAAGGGATTCAACTATAAAAGGTTCTTCTCACTTGTGCATCACATTTGCAAAAAATATTCTTTTAAGAAATATCCATTGACAGGTTCTTCAGGGACCCAAAAGTGGTTGTTATATGGCACCTAAAAGTTAGTTGTTCTGTGTAAGAGTGTAATTCTCAGCATATATTTAGAATCCATCTCAGTGAAGAATTGTTTGAGTTAAGCAGCATGATCAGATCTAGCTGAGGGCGAGACACATGTCCTGAGAGTGAATATTGGATAGGACCTGAAGGTGTTTGGGTAGATGGGACAGTGAAGGCCTTGGGTGACAGACGCTGCAGAAACAGCAGCGATGGCAACAGTCAAGTAAATTAAAGCTCAGTGAAGCAGCGTTGGAAAGCGCGCAGTGGACTGCTAATGCTGGGCTGCCTCTGGCCAGCAGTCGCGACCAGCAATGCGCTGTGTGCTCAGGTGTTCATCCAGAACTGAAAATGAAGGAGGGGGAAGGAGTGTGAGATTGAGAGAAAACAACAGAATGAAAGAATGCATGAGGGTGAACAACATCTCTCCAAAATTCCATTAACAAGCCACTCAAGGATGAGTGCACCAATATTTATGAGCCAAATGTTTCCAAAGATGCTGATTATAATTCAGCCAAGCTGCGGTTCATCCAGGGACTTGCCTACGACCTGGAAGTATTTATAAAGTAATCCATGTAAATATAGCCTCGAACTCCATGGGAATGAGGGCATGTGCTATATCTGCCCTGGCTCATGAAACATTCAGTAAATTCCCCTATTTTCCAAAAGAGATTGAGTTCAGGGATGGAGTGCCGGCTGAGCTTGGGGAGCTTTTTGGAGAGCGGCTGATGGTTGAGGAGATCTCAAGGGCATCCTTCTGTGGGTTTAGCTTTATTAGTTTACTCACTATCTGTTCCTCAGATCTATTGAGTTCTCACTACAGTAAAGGCAGAGCAGCCCCTGCTTATTTACATCTCTTTCTTTGTCTCAATTATACACTGTCAATAGACCCTTAATGGTCAGTGTCTCAAGCTGTTGTATTGCATTTCTGACAATTGTATCGCACATCATTCTCGTCACTGTAAGGTCAAGTTGAAGATGTGAAGGATATTTTGGATCGATAAACCTATTTCTACAACAGAAAGGAAAGTGGCCGTGATGGTCATGTGTGTTTCAAAATGAGTACAGCTCCAACCTTCAGTAATTGCCTATTAGGACTCCATTAACTTTACTCTATGTCAGTATTGAGAATATCTCTGGGCTTAGTAGGCCTATATCGTTTCCGTTCTGATTGGGGTCTGACCGCTATATCAGTTGGATGATAATATCAGCTGATGTTGTAGGTCTAGTGGATTTATCAGTATCGCCAGAAATTTTACAGATAAACCACAATATGTAGTGGTTTATTTCAGTGCAACCTAATGTTTGTTTCACAGTATAACATATGGTTAATTAGGGAAGGTTTTTGATTGTAGCTTTGTCTTTGTCACAATTATGTTTTGCTTCTTTGATTCACTAAAAAAAGTCTGAAGTAGGATGATCATAGTGTAAATGTTATTAAATCAATCAAAGTTTTCTTTCAGAGGCCTAATCTGCTTTTACAACTAATACACTTTGATACATTGCAATATGTCATATTGCCATACATGTAACAAATTTTTAAAAAGTTGCAGTAGAAGCTAGGGCTGCAGCTATCCAATATTTTATTTCTGAATATTGAATGTTATCTCAAATATTCAAATATTCTGTAAGGGTTTTAAAAAGCCCAAGACGTTTCACGTTAATGATTGAATGAAAGCTTTTTAGTCTTGTTTTAGTTGATTTATTTTTACTTCTGCATGAATTATTTATTTATTTTCTTTCCAGTTTTCTTTTTCATTATTTTATTTAGATGCACCTTTTAATAATACTTTTTAAAAAATACCATATTACACAGTACTGGAAAAAGTAGATACAAGAAAGCAGCACAAATGCTGTTTCCAGGTTTGCATTCAATGTGGCAACACTGAACAGTTTGCTGTGCTGTTTTAAAGTAAAGAGCGGAACAAGAGAGCAGCAGAAACAGAGTTTTTTAACCAAAAATACAATTCAAGTCTCAAGCCAAAAAAAAAAATATATCTTATCCAAAAAAAGGCCCATACCTAAATTTCTGTCTCAATTGTAAACAATTGCAATTTAAATCGTAATTGCAATATTGGTAAAAATAATCGCAATTAGATATTTTACCAAAATCATTCAGCCCTACATGGTTTCATAAAAGTTTTAGTTATTTGAATGATCAGATATTTGAATTATCAAATTTAGGAAATATTGTCAAATACTGGTAAGAATATAATATGCAAGTAACACAAGCATGTAAAATCCGTCCAAACCTAATCTTTAACATGATGATAGCATGTTACATAAATAATAACAAAGTCTGGAAGCTCTTTATTTGTTTCTGATGTTTATTCGAGAATTGTAATTATTGAGAATTGACAGTCATACTTAACAAAACTGTCATTCGGATTAGTAAGCATAGTTTAACTAAGTCTATTGCAGTGTGTTATATTCTTGATCATGTTATATATATTATCTAATATTATCAGGTATAGAAATGCTTCTTACAATTAATATCAATATCAGTAAATTTTCCAAATTGATTACTCTTCCCTATCCTCACTGTGTTCTCCCTTGACTCTGCTTTGACCAAACTTGACAGATGTGTGTGAGAGAGAGTGCCAGTATTGTGAGGAAATGTGTCCTCAGAGGTTTGTGAGGGTGTGAGAGCAAATGTTACAAAGGAATT